CTATTGTAGCAAAACCTGAAGCTTCAGTGATGCAGCCACTCCAGAGCCAACCACAGCCATATCCAACACAAGCTGGATATGCACCACAACCAGGCTATGCCCCTCAACCTGGATACCCACCACAGCCAGGCTACCCCCAGCAGCAGCCATACCCAACACAGCCCTACCCACCTGCAGGTTACCCAGGTATGTCATGCTGCATTAGATTTTTGTTGAATATACAGTAGTGTGCAAGATTTATTTCACTTTTTATTCAATAATGTGTCCATACCTAGCATACAAAATTAAGAAGATTTATAGGAAGTATGAATAGCAAATACTACTATCCAAATGTGAGGCATGTGTGGAGTCAAATACAGGTGCTTGCCACTACTTCATAAATGAGCACTTTGCTGAGCTTCATTATTCTGCTGCTACACGTTTATAATAACAATGTTTATCTCTGTTAATAATCGTCAGAGAAATGAGAAAATCAGTAGGAGCCATGAGAAGGATTTGAACCCACTCGCTTGGTACTCCTAGACCACTATACCATGACAGTTGCATGCTCAAATTACAAAAGTTACTAATATGAGTAACATTTGCTAACTAAAAGTACAGTACCATCAAATAAGGAAAATGTCAACCAAATCACACACTAGAAAGTGAAGAGACGACGACGACGTTTCGGTCTGTCCTGTACCATTATCAAGTCGATTGTGGGCACATTATTAAATAAAAAAAATTAAGCCACATTACTGTGACTCTTCATATGCAAATAAGGGAATCCTCATACCTTAATAAGGTACAGTGCCACAAGTTAGAATGTTTTGTTTTCCTCAATGTTCTGTGCCATTTTCTTGATTCTCTATTTATATTTACTTGAAACTAACAAAATCAACATATGAGCCTAAAACTTTTTCCATTCAATATTGGGTGGTGTTTTCCAGCTTTAATAACTTTTCAACTTTTGCTTAAAATGCAAATGCACCACAACTACATTGTAATCCACTCTACAGATAATTATGTTGGCCAACATTGTATCAATCAGTATGAATAGTGTAAAAAGTATGTCTTTGTGAGGGGAACCCCTGTAGAAACTGCAGCTGTCAAAAGGTAATCTTTTCTGCCAGACCTGACACTGCTTATAATGCTAGAGTTGAGTGGTAGCTGGAGACGCCTGCCACCAGTCTTTCAACCTCACTAATAAAATGGAACGAGTGCAAGCTCTAGGGGTCTGGGCTGAAATGCCAAACTGAAACCCATTACTACTATTGTCCTATTCCCAAAATGGGCAGTTTTGATTTGTTTCCAGGGAAGCCTACAAAACAATCCCATAATAGCTCCCTGGTGGGAAGGAAGCCATTCTTGACAATCGCACTTGTACGTGGAGGTAGACTCTTGTGCGTAGGAGTTCTTAGCCATCACTATTCACACATGGCTTGATAATGTTCATTTCCTTAGGAAAATTCTTGATTTTCAGGATAAGCTACCCTACCATTTCTTTGTTTCACATTGCATTTGCTTGTACCTTCCCCAAACACCATCGACACTCAAATTTTGCCTGGCTAATGGCTTTCCTCTTCCATACGATCATTCTCACTTTAGCCTTCAAAATATGAAAGAATGGCTTGAATGGCTAAATTTGTCACATTTAATCATTCTGAAGATCGTACAAGCACATTCCCGCCCTCCTCATAAAGAGCATCTGCCCAACCTTGTCACTTAACATCTCTCAAGCCATGTTATCTTACGTTCTCCACGTCTCACACTCGACATGTCCTCCCACCTTTCCTCTCGTCCTACACTTGAATATATTTTTCACCTGTTGACCATTATCCACATTCAACATGGCCAGATTGTTTTGGTACTTGTGGGAAATTTTCCCAGCAGGAATTTACTTGCGTATTATTAAATTATTAATAATAATATAATTTAATATAATTAATTCAAAATTAACTGTATATTCATAAAGTGGACTGTATTTTATTAATTTATCCCGCTGGGTGGTATCCAATTCACAAGTTTGGGGGTATACATACGTAACCTATCACACCTGGTATGGATAATGGCAATAAACTACAAAATATTGGTTATACTACTAAATAGGTTGATAAATATGGTTATTTTTTATCTCCGAAATTGACATAGCCTAATAATAAGCCCTGGGTATCTTTCAATCACGTGCAGGGAACCTTGTTGGCTGAAGTCCAAGTGGTGACTTAACACTTTTGCGCTCTGTGCATGAGCTCCGCAGACTTCAGGTGAGCGTGCGGCGACACTGAAATATGTATACTCGTTTCAGTTTCTCACCTTAATTCTCGATCTACGTCGTTCCTTTTGGTATCAATGGGTTTACAATAGAATTCCCTACAGGGGTTTATGAATATAAGGTCCAAAAGCCCGGTGCGACCCCCAACAGCAAAGCCTAAAGTCAGCCAACCGTTACCCGTGAGCTAGCACCAATTGGCACACCCTCAACCTAATGCGTATACTCTTCTCAATTTGATAACATCAATTTGTGTGTAAACATTTTAGTGTGGCTGTGCGCTCACAGGAAATGCACGGCTGACCTATGGGTGCTTGGCCGCCCAGCAAAAGTGTTGAGTGTAATTTTAAACTATTTTAATGCATTTTACTTATTTAAATAAGACTATCATTTATAGAAGTAAATTACAAAGACAAATACTCTTATTATGATAGTTTCAGTATTACATTCTCATCTTCCTACAGCTGACCAGCCTCCAGCCTACTCTGAGAAGCAGTTGGCATACAACCCCAACTACCAGTAATGTTGACCATCTTTACACTGATGCACATACTCAGAACTCGTCAACTGCACCATCTGCTATTGGCTAGTTCATGTAAATTTAAAGAATTTTGTGATGGACTGTTTTTATGCATGTATCGACGTGTGGTTCTCCCACGAACTTTAGCTACATATCACTTTAACAGAAGCAAGTGTTTTAAAGACCTTTTTATTTGTGTCGACATTGTGCATATATAAAAGATCTGAAAATGCAAATGATAATGCTGTGTAAACATTCAGGCTGTCATTGATTTTTTGTATTAATGTGGGTAAATATGAGCTGGAACTAAATGTGTTCTCAAAACTTCAATATTATTGCATGGTTAAACTGTTCAACATTTTTTTGTTCAGTGGGGGAGGGCGGGTGTCTGACAAGTTTAATACTTTCATATGTTAATATCAGTCGGAGTATCATTTAGTTTTTTGTAAATTAGTACAGTATCTAGAATTGAGAATAACAGTTGAGAGGTATCAGTGCAACTATTTTTATAAATTAACTATGAATCAGCAACATGTAAATGAAGTTGATATATTATGGAATATACCTTGTAATATATGTACTGTACAGGGTGTCCCTGAATTGGCTATCTATTTCTATGATATTGGACGAATATTATTAAAACCTACATAATTTAATATTACCTTATTTGAATATAAAACGGATAGCTTTATAGATATGTCAAAACTTTATAGAGAACTTTCAACATGTGTTTCATCTGAATCCCTTTCAGATTTAACCTTAGTGTTGTGAAACACATTTTGCACTAATCCACTTCATTTAAATTTCAAGTTTACGAATCAGTTTCTGTAAGAATAGTTCTTGAAATTTTGTTGTAAATTTTTCTCTGATTTCGTTATCGCAATCCTTTGATACGGGATGTCACAATAAAGGTTTGTTGTTGTGCATTCATTATTAGGGTTCTCTCTCAAAATAATAATAATTTATAAATATTTACATTTATAACACAAAACATGATAAACATGAGTTTTTTTTTTTTTATTCATAAAATTTCATAGAAATAGATAGCTAATTCTGGGACACACTGAATTTCCCATTACTTGTTTGTATTATGTATCTTATGGTGGAAACATTATTTAATCACTACTGTGGGCTGCATGCCAATAATATATTTTAAAGCTTAGACAAAAATGTATTAAGTGTGTATAGAATGAAGTTGTGCTCTTGGTGGTGATCATCATTGCATGTGCAGGGTTACCCAGTGTTGAGGACCTGCACGTGGTGGTGATCACTGTTGCACGGTGCTGTGGGGTTACCCAGTGTTGAGGACCAGCACGTGGTGGTGATCATTGTTGCACGGTGCTGCGGGGTTACCCAGTGTTGAGGACCAGCACGTGGTGGTGATCAGTGTTGCACGGTGCTGCGGGATTACCCAGTGTTGAGGTCCAGCACGTGGTGGTGATCACTGTTGCACGGTGCTGCGGGATTACCCAGTGTTGAGGTCCAGCACGTGGTGGTGATCATTGTTGCACGGTGCTGCGGGATTACCCAGTGTTGAGGTCCAGCACGTGGTGGTGATCATTGTTGCACGGTGCTGCGGGATTACCCAGTGTTGAGGTCCAGCACGTGGTGGTGATCATTGTTGCACGGTGCTGCGGGATTACCCAGTGTTGAGGACCTGCACGTGGTGGTGATCATTGTTGCACGGTGCTGCGGGATTACCCAGTGTTGAGGTCCAGCACGTGGTGGTGATCAGTGTTGCACGGTGCTGCGGGGTTACCCAGTGTTGAGGACCTGCACGTGGTGGTGATCATTGTTGCACGGTGCTGCGGGGTTACCCAGTGTTGAGGACCAGCACGTGGTGGTGATCAGTGTTGCACGGTGCTGCGGGATTACCCAGTGTTGAGGACTTGCACGTGGTGGTGATCATTGTTGCACGGTGCTGCGGGATTACCCAGTGTTGAGGTCCAGCACGTGGTGGTGATCAGTGTTGCACGGTGCTGCGGGATTACCCAGTGTTGAGGACCTGCACGTGGTGGTGATCATTGTTGCACGGTGCTGCGGGGTTACCCAGTGTTGAGGACCTGCACGTGGTGGTGATCACTGTTGCACGGTGCTGCGGGGTTACCCAGTGTTGAGGACCTGCACGTGGTGGTGATCAGTGTTGCACGGTGCTGCGGGGTTACCCAGTGTTGAGGACCTGCACGTGGTGGTGATCACTGTTGCACGGTGCCATGGAGGTTACCCAGTGTTGAGGACCAGCACGTGGTGGTGATCACTGTTGCACGGTGCCATGGAGGTTACCCAGTGTTGAGGACCTGCACGTGGTGGTGATCACTGTTGCACGGTGCTGCGGGGTTACCCAGTGTTGAGGACCAGCACGTGGTGGTGATCACTGTTGCACGGTGCTGCAGGGTTACCCAGTGTTGAGGACCTGCACTTGGTGGTGATCACTGTTGCACGGTGCTGCGGGGTTACCCAGTGTTGAGGACCAGCACGTGGTGGTGATCACTGTTGCACGGTGCCATGGAGGTTACCCAGTGTTGAGGACCTGCACGTGGTGGTGATCACTGTTGCACAGTGCTGCAGGGTTACCCAGTGTTGAGGACCTGCACTTGGGCCATGATTGCTAATGATTTTAGTTTTGTTTTTTTACTTTAAACCTTCTCTGTTCTGTTTGACATATTTTTCCTGCATGCCTTCAAAGTTGCTGCCTTTTTTTTCCATCCATTTTATAATTTTATTACAGAATAAGCTCTCTAAGCAACTTTATTTTTTACGTTAACAATATCGGTAAATTAACTTGACTCTCCATCTTGAAATACTATGTCTGTTTCATATCTTATATTATTGTACAGTAACCATATATTTTGTTAATGTGTGCAAAGAATAGTTTGCTAGGTTAGAAGTGTAAGGAATTATGACATTTTCAATAGTATAGCCTTGATTTAAGAGGAAAATGTTGCTAGTGAGCATTATGCTATGTACATCACAATTCAGTAGGATCGCTCGTGCAAAGCTTTCCACTCACCGTAGTCGTGACACTTCTTGCATTCCTCACCATCAGTCGCTGCACAAATATGAATTTCTCAACTTTAGAATATCACTTATATTGATGTTAGAATTTTGTAATACTGTTATTAGACAAAATTGGAAACTATTTTCTTTTATGTATTTTCTGTATTATGTAAATAGAGGTATTTCACAGATCACCTTGTTTGATACACTTTCCCGGTTCACTGTGGACTGAAGTCTTACTCGTAACATTTTGCATTCTTTAACACTGGTCGAGCCAATGCATAGGATGTTTTAGCAAATGTTTTGACCCTTTTGCAGTTTAGGGTATTAAATGTGCAATCATTTGGCTGTCATGTTAAAAGAGGAATTGGGTAATGAAACGTGTTGAATGTAGAAGACGTCTTTCGGAAACTGAGACGTTCATTCTGCTCACCGATCCTCTGTACGATTAGTATATCCCCAAGATTTTGCATATCTTCATATCTAAGAAAATTAAGGATTTTTTGTTATCAATCCAGAGAAGTTTGTGTTGCATTAATCTGAGATTTTCATTTAATTTTGTTTCCCTTGTGATAAATTGTTGCTTAAAACATAGCAAAGCCTATCAATAGGACTTAACAGTTTCTGATCTATCTTTCCCCCCCCCTGCCTTCCCAAAAATGTTTTATTTAATTTTTGCATCATTAACTTGTCTATTTTTCAATTTGCCACATTATTTAATAAGTCTTGCATTTGTAATGTACCCATTTCCACATTGGCCACAATTGTCTACCCCTTGACGTAAGTACGCTCAAGATTTACAACAAATGGGGTCAACTTTTTAATTAGGTAGTGTAGTTCATAAACCTTATAGGACTCACTAGATATGTGGTACAGTACAGTATGTGTTTACTCAGATCTTGAAAGTTTTCAATGGTTACCCTCCTAACTTAGATTTACTGTCCTCCCAGATGTGACTTCCTCAGTCACATCTTTGTACTAGAGATGCAAGTATTATCTCCTGTAAGTTTGTATGATTATATAAAGTTCTTGTTTATTCAAGGATAATACAAGATCTTTGTTAAAGGCACGAGGTAATGAAAAATTTGTTTTGTAGCATCTTAAGTAACAGCTTTTCTCCAATTTCACATTTAATTTTTTTTATTTATTTAACAATTTTCACATTTGTTAAAATAATATACGGGTTAGATTACTTTATGGAAAGTTCCTCTGCAGTTGTGTGATTGCAACAGGATTTTAATTTGAGGATAAGTGTTAAGTGTTACCTTGTTAATGTTAAATGTAATCATTGCAACTGTAGCTATGGGATAAAACCTGTATGAAATATTACTGCCATTTATTGTTCTCATAAATACCTTTACACGCTAATATACGCATGCATTATTCTAAATACATTAAATGCAGTTTGATGTACTAGTGTATACTCCACACTTCTGAGTGCACAAGTGAGTACATGCAGTATGCATGCCATACATGATGCTGCATAATAACAGGCATGCAAGTATTGGCGTGTTTACACTGCCTCTGTGTTAATGTCTACGTTCACATACACTGTATGTACAGTAATTCAGTATTGCCGACTTGTTCCCACTTTATCACCTATGTCTTTAGACTTTTTGTTTGTTTATACAAGTAATATCTAAATTAGTCAATGTTAGACTGTAGCTATATTATTTTTGTATTGACATGTTAATGTGTAAACGAAACCATGGAAGAAAAGATTCGTTGTAATAGCGACGTTCTGATGTCGCAGATTGTGTAATGAAAGCAATTTTCAATACTTATTCTCTAAAGATGAAATTATATGTGTGAATTAAGTTTCCTTTAATGATTGTATTGATATAAAATTTCAAGTTAATAAAAGATAAAATTTTAAAGAATGTCTAATAATCATATGGAACTATAGTCTTATTTAATACTTTTAAATTATTGTAGTTGTATCATGTTCCATTAATGGGACTTATGTTACACAAAAGATTTAGATTTTCAAGAGACAATTAAATCTTTATTAAGGTTGTAATTACCCAGGGAAAGTTACAGGTGGAGCTAGGCTTGTTGTCCCTTTTTCATGTCATCATGTAGTGTTCAATAGATTTCAATGGTGTTGGCCAACAGTACCCTCTCCATTAATTTATTCCATCCATTTACCTCTGCAGTACAGTATAATTTTTTTATGCCTTTGTTTTGTATATGTATTTGTCCTTTTCTTCTCAGTGTTACGAGTTTCAAGAATCTTTCATACTCTATAACAAAAGAAAAAGAAAAAATACATTCTACAGTTAGTACTACTATTACTACTACTAACAACTATAGAATGCCCCTTTTTTTTCTTTTGCTTCAACTTTTGATCTGGTGCTTAAAAACTTTCCTCGAAGCTCTTACGCTATTTTGTCTCAAACTATTACATTCTACTATTAGTCTAGTAGAATGTTAGTAGAACTAACATTCTACTAGACGTAGAATGTCTACACCTTTGTTAAAGTATGGACATCAAACAGTTTAATAATTTCTTCATTACTGTATTTGAAGGCTATTCTGAAATGATCAAAGTAACATAGGCTTCTCCTTGATGTGTGATCCTTGAGGTTGCCCTTAAGTGTCTTTTTCACTACTAAGTTTGTATTTTTGCTTAACTTGTAAACTAAATTTGGCCTTGTTGTGCCCATTGCACACAATTTTGGTCTTATATTGTGTGTTACTCCATGCAATTACTTTTTCTAGTTCTTTTTGAAGGGCATGGTGCTTCATTTTTCCCCACTCTGAAATCGAGTGGGTAAAACATTGCCACTCCAGGTAAATCGTATAAATATTGTATGGACTTCACTAGTGCCTAATACCAAGGCTTGTGGGATCCTGCCAGTAACATTTCTCCAGTTTTAAAATTTATTGTTTTTAATCATTGCATACATCTTGATAGAATATTTTTGTTCCCAAGTGGTAAATTTTTGTGGTGTTGTGATGTGTGCCACCTTCCAGAGCACTCTCCTGATGGGCACTTTATCAAACACCATATTTAAGTCCACACACACATCAAGATCAAATCTACCAACCATCTCTAAAATATCATTGTATATCATAAAAAGTAATTTAAATTCAAAGTGCATGGTGTTCCCGTTTGAAAATTTAACTTGTTTAATTTTTATTAGTACTGGATACCTGTTAAATAGGTTTTCTGGTAAGATTAATTCTTAAATGCATACATGTTCTTTCACTGGTACTGCAACTCATTCACTTCTCCTATTTTGTATGTCTTCTCCAAAGTGAATAGCCCCTTCGTAATACCACCACATTTAATGACTACACCCTACTTTCAATGTCATCCTTTAATTTTGAGCATTTCTGAGCATTTTTGCTATTTATGTCCCTATTACTCACTTTAGGTAGTGGACCTTTTACTTCTCACACCTCCTGCTGTAATGAACTTACATTCTCATTGTGAAGCTTTTAACTGTATCTACAACTTTCACCGAGTTCTTTTCCTCTTCTATGGCATTCTCTATCTTTAATGCCATTTCCTTTTTCTTTACAACGAAGAACTTTAATTGACTTTGATCTACCTGGCTTGACACCTTCTGCTCATAATTACTTATGTGGGTCTACTATACTATATTTTGAACCAGTTTGTGATTTGTGATGGATTCCTTTCTAATCTCTGTAATGGTCACCCGTTCACTACTATCCATAGCTTCCCTACTTTTGTATATTTGTGGCAATATTTTTTATTAGATAAATGGAGAACTTCAGTGTTCGTACCTTTCCATCGTCAAGGCTTGTATATAGTTGAAATAGTCATTACAACTTGTGTGTTTATAGTAGATCAAGAATATTTTTTTGTTAAGTAGCATTTAAATAGATGTAGGATCGTTAATATATTATAGATTTTTATAGTTAAATTGATGAGCTGTGTTAAAAGGAGTGTTTATTTTTTTTTTTAAATTGAAATATTAAAATGTTATTACCTTTCAGTGTTTGTTGTACGAGTACTGTACATGCAGACATGCTTCTTTCTAATCTTACACTTTTGGTGTTCTAAAGTCGAAACGATCCTATATACTGTATCTAAATGTGATATAATGTGTGAAATTTAAAGTTGATGCAGATTTTCACACTTGACTATAAATTCTCGACTAGATGTGATACCTGATAATCTCAACATTTATATTATTAATATTTATAAGATAAGGCATGTTGCACTGGTTTAAAGTTATATTAAACATTGTGCAAGTTCAGTGTTTAATAAGGCATGTTGTGTTTAAGTTGCTAGTTATGAGATGGAAGGCAGTGAAAAATATTGTTGCTTCAGTAAACTATCCACCACAACTAAGCACATGCCTCAATGGAAACAATGAAGCTGGCTTTTGTAAATTGGATGCAGCTTGAGCTACAGATTTTTGGGTTTGGTCACCACCAATACACAAGGTTGTTGGTGTGGAATTAACATGTTAGAAGGATTATATATTGTGAATGTTGATGACAGTGTTGGATATAATAAACTACACGCCTAATGGGAATGTGAGAAACTGTGCTCCAATGTGAAGTATGTTTGGATAGTGAAGTCAAATTAAATAGAATTTAATAGTTACAGTATTTATGAAAGTGTGAACCAAGACATCACGAACTAAAAAAGCAAGTGTTTCATCAGAGCATCATAGCTGAAATAAAGATTTCAATGTGGAATGGTTTTAAATAATTTGAAACCATCTCTTTCTTGGGTAAGAGATGGGCAGATTTTGTATTGGTCTCCCATGCCAGGCTGTTTTAAAATTGAGAAACTTGTGCTAAAACTACAGTGGTTGGCCAGCGGTTTGGGAGACTTGTTTTAGTATTAAAAGTATTGCCATGTATCACAAATGTTTTGCTTTAATTTGACAATAAAAATAACCGACTTTATTCTATGCTTCACTGAAACTTTACAAAATATTCAAGTTATTTTGAAAACTTGTTTTATTAAGCCTTTCAGGAATGTGTTGGTGCGTGATGAGTGACGAGCAGAAGACAGTTGTTGAGGTTCTCATTATTAGTGCTGCATGTAATGTCGTTTTTGTTCTACACGCTTCCCGATTACTTTGTCTCGTATCGTCATCCTCTGACTTAACAGAAGTATTGTAATCAGTTAAGTCTTTTTGTCTTTAATCCTTTCCTGAATGGTGTCCTGTCATTCAACTAGACCATATTTTTGTCTTAAACACGGTAAAAAAAAAACTGGATGGTATCCGTGCATAACCCAATGTTTCCAGGGCTTTGGCTTAGTGAATCAGTCCATGTGAGTAATAAAGATGTCAAAATGTAAGGCATAATTGGCTTCCTACCGTTAGTATGGTTGTTGTAGCATCACTCAGTGGTTCATAGCTCATCACCTAGAGCTTGCACCAATGTTAATGTACATAATAGAACCATTTAAACTTGTGCTTCAGAAAGCTAATGGAATATAGTATGTATATATGAAGGCAACATGTATATATGACGTATGGTCAATATTATTTTAGACATTTTATTAAAGTTTTGTTAACTCTGTGACTGCGGTACCTGTTTTGGCCTCGTACTTCTCTTGGGGCTCAACATCTAAAATGTTAATACAAAATAATAGAAACAGCAGAAGCCTATCGGTTGATGTGAGAACACTCCTCTTATACTCGACAAGATCCTATTACTATTTTTATGACGTGTTTTTAATCTGACATATATTAATTGCTACTCTTAATCTGCTTTAGTTAACAGTCCTATTTCTAAACATACTTACCAAGGCTAATAAAACGTGGTCTCGCTTCATGCAGGTCAGTGTTCAATCCCCGACCGTCCAAGTGTTTGGGCACCATTCCTCTCTCCCGATCCGTCCCATCCCACATCCTTATCCTGACCCTTCCAAGTGCTATATAGTCGTAATGGCTTGGCGCTTCCCTTTGCTAATTGCCCTTCCTTTGATAATACCTTTTTCATTTGTATTAGTTTTTTAAAATTTGTTGATATATTTAGCACATTATTATTAACCATCTTGTTAATAATTCATCATTAAGCCTTTCATCCATTAATATGCAGTGCAGTACTGTATTTAATCATATCCTCACTTATTCTTTGCCATGTTTAATTTATCTTCTTGAAGTAGGTTTCTAATTCTCGAAATTATCTTCGCCATCCTTTACTGCGTTTTCTAAAGAATTTGTTCATTCTATATTTTGGTGGCCAGAATTCAAATGTGTTTAAATATGGCCTAAGATATACGGAGTGGGCTATATGTTCTCGTCACCATGCAAGTGGCTGAGGCTCTGCTGCCACATTTCCTGCCCGAGCTCTTGATATGACACAGCGTATAATAGCTATGTCGTAGAAAGTAATGTTGTAGTATGTAGTGATGGACCACCGCAAACCACTTTTTGTAATAACTTTTTAGAGGCTGGGATAAAATAAAGCTGAAAACCAAACTTTAATATTGCTTGCATAGCACACATGTACAGCGTATTATAAGGCCTAGGAGTGTTAGGAGAGGTTAGGTCTCATACTTGCTAGGTCATCCCGTCTTGACATGTCTGTAGTAAGAATAAACTTGCCTATAGTTAAAAAAAGGAGTTGGGAATGATCTTACTGCTTGCTTACTCAACAGATCACTCGACACGTGTATGGGAACAACGCAGGGGCAGAAATAGTGTAACATAAGAGTTACTTCATCAAGTGGCAGTAATTAACTATTCCAGTAGACAGGAATTAATGCCAAAGGAACTACGACAAATTAATATAGCACTAATGTAAGTAGTAACGACAAAAGTACATCCTCACTGAGCAACCAGCGGCCCTTTAACTCAATACCTATAAGATAAGCCACCCAAGAGGTGGCACGGGCATGAATAGCCCGAAAAGTACGCATGAGTACAGTATTAAGAAATATATTATCCCTGTCAAATCTTCACTAAATTATGGCAATTTCACTAATTAGTAAATAGTATAAACGGCTGAGAAGTTAATGCTAACTCTAGCATCTTGAGGAAGGTTACCACTTGTGTTGTAGGGGGACGGACGGACGGACGGACGGACAGACGGACAGACGGACAGACAGACAGACAGACACAGACACGCACGCACGCCTACTGTATACATCCCGTTATAGGGCACAGGAAGGCTGCTAGGTGAACAGAGGTACCGGGTGTAAGGCTCACCTAGGCCAACCACCGAACTGGACTAGGAGGCAACCCACAATAGTTGGTTAACTCCCGATAGTTGTTTAAATTAGATTCAGCTACTGGAATACAATTTCCATGTAGCACGGGCCATGGTGACCCCCGTAAGTTTTTTTTATTTTTTTATTTTTACATGCAAGCATGCGGGTTAAAATACAATAAAACAACAAATTGAAACATAACAATAGAAAACAAGAAACCGCCGGCCAGAAGGACCGACAGAACAACAATTTACCAAAACTGGAAAGGTTACAGAAAATGTAGGATAAAAACACAAAAAGATACAAAACAGAAAACAGGCACAAACAAGCAAGCAACGCAAGCAAACCAAGAACATAGAAACAATATAAAACAATGTAGCAGTATGAAACAAAACAGACAGAAGCGCCGGCCTGAAAGGACCGACAACAAAGCACAACAGTATGAACAAAATGAAATACAATAAGAAAGCATATCACACAACAAGCCAATAACAAACAAAATAAAATAAAAGACAATCACAACACATAAGCATAAAAGAAAACACATAGGGCACGGTAACAACAAAAACAAATACATGAAGAATAGCACACACACCAAACCACCTGCCTCGCCACAAACAAGGGAGAGGCACGGGCACAAACTACCAGATGGCAAACAAACAGCCAGAAGGACACACAGTACAAGAGTAAGCACAATAGTAGAAAATCACCTGACATACTTGCTCGGAAACACGTTCCGAGGGAACCGTACATGGAACGCCTCCCAGCGCAACCACTGCCAAGGGCCCTGACCATCCACCGGGGACGCCATATCATCCAGGACATCGGCAACAAACACCCGCAAACAGGGTACCCAAATGGTATCACTCCTGACCTGAGTGATCGGCACACGCTCCCACACCAATGGAACTGCCCCATCCTGAAATGCCAGCGCCTCCTCACAGATCGGTAACGCAGCAATCTGCAACCAGTGACCCAACGGCATCACAGACTCCGGTAACACGTCCCCCAAGCCCCCAACGTACTTCCTCAGAGGAGGGAGCCGGACAGAAGGCACCACCACAGGGGCACCAGCGTCCACGGGCACACCACCGGACGACTGCCGGGAAACCGAGCTGCGCACATCCTTTCGCAAGGTTACCACCAGGCCACGCCCAACCCCGTCATCCCCTTCATCCCTGACAGCGGAGGCCACCACGCTCCACCGCGGAGAGGCCTCCGGTGGAGAAGGAACAGCAGGCACATCCGAGACACGGACACCATCGTCAGCAGGCACATGGACTTCCGCCACCACTAACTGCGGAGCCAGCGACGCATCCGGAACCACTCCATCCACACCCGAAGACCCACAGTCACTAAATTCCCCAACATCGGCCCAGGCAGACGACGTACGCCTGGAACGTTTGGGCACCGGCCTGAGATCGTCAGAGCCGGAAGCGGTCCCAGAAACACGGGCATCACTAGCCGGACGAACGGACGCCCGCCGCAGAACGGCAGCAGCCTCTCCCACAGGGGGAACTGGACCACACACATCAGGGGGCCCCACAGCCACCCCAGCACCCAGCACAGCCGGGACCCGAGGCGAGGATGCAGGGCCAGGCGCAGCAGCTGAAGACGGGTGAGCAGACGGCGATGCCTCGCAGGGAGCAGCAGGGCCAGTGACAGGAGCAGGAGTAACATCCGACGGCACCGCAACATCCGGAGGAGTGTCGGCGACAACCTGGGGAACGTCGGGCGACGCTGGGGGAGCCTCAGCAACTAACGGGACGTTCACCTCCTCACCCCTGGAGTCCTCGTCCAGAAGGAGCGGCGGGAAATCCTCTTCAAGGAACAAGTTGACTGGAGCAACCTGAGCCGCATCGCACCCGGCAGCCTGATGCCCCAACAGGCCACACCGGAAACAGGTACGAGGTTGCCGGGCATAGTACACCCGGACGTAGTACCCCAGAAGCCGGACCGAAGATGGAATATCCGACCGCAGGTGCATCCCCAAGGTGCGAATGTTCGTCCGCCTACCTGCATACCTCCCTGAGGAGAGCGTGTTCACCCGCACACTGACGACCGCTCCAAACTGCTGAAAGTAACGTCGGAGAAGGTCCTCGGGAAACTCCAGGGGCGCCCCATGCACACTGACATAAGTCAGGGCACCACTACGGTCCGAGATGGACACAGAGCCGGCACCACCCGGCAACGGCAACGAACGCTCTTCGTAACGACGGAGGAAGTCACGATACTCCTCCTCCTTCACGAACTTGATAACAACCCGGTGGGCAATTACAAGCTCAATACCGTAAATGGCCATCACAGGGATACGGAGCATGTCGCACATAGCCATTTCTATACCTGGTTGATACCTGGTTGATGGGGCTCTGGGAGTTCTTCTACTCCCCAAGCCCGGCCCGAGGCCAGGCTTGACTTGTGAGAGTTTGGTCCACCAGGCTGTTGCTATATCCGCATATCCAGCACGACCAGCTGAATATGCGGCCTGGAGTTCACTGGTTCACGACCAGTGAACTCCAGGCCCACGGAGTTCACGCGCTTAACAGGAGGAAGGGGGCTACCCATGGCAAGCTCGCCACGTCAACACGCAGCCAGGCAGCAACAGCAGGGGGGGGGCAAAGACGCCCACACCCCTTGGCGACGAAAACGGCAAACACCCCAAACTAGCAGAGGCCAGACGACACGTCTGTACCTCACAACAGCTCCAGGTGGACTCTGACCCCCGTAAGTGGAGGCTCTT